CATTGAAAAAGGAGAAGCCGGTGGGGAAGAAGATGAGGATGCTGAGGGCGCAATGACGGGTGGTTCCTCGGAGAGGGGGACGAAGGCACAGGAGGATGTCGTGTCAGGCTGGAAGGTGCCTCGTCCCCCTCCGCTAAAGGTCCCCAACCGGTCCCCCGCCATGGTGTTCAACGATTACGCCATGCAGGCCAGGTTTCAGGTAGGACGAGGCGGCTTTTTGTTGCTGCTGCTGTCTTTGACGCAAACCACTTGGGTGTTGTTTGTCGTTGTGGTCGTGGGCATTGTCGTTTGCAGCGTTTGATGGTTGTTTCTTTGTATTTGGATGGTGCTTGAGTGTAAAGTCGGGTTTTATTTCGTGTTTGGTTTTTAAATCTACCGTACACACCCTACGTTCCCCCCCCCCCCCCCCCCCCCCCNNNCCCCCCCCCCCCTCGGCCTCCTGTCCTGCCCATCAGGCCCCCGCCGACTACGAGCAGATCACCGGCGAGGACGGCCAGGCGGAGTACTTGTGTACCATCAGCGTCGGTCCTGAGGACAGGATAGTTGGCCGAGGGAGGGCCCCGAACATAAAGGCGGCCAAGCAGCAGGCGTCCCGCGAGCTGCTCACGGTATGTGGATATTTCTGTCCTGTGTCCTTGTAAGTGGCATCTGACCGCACTTCAATCGGCTGACCCGATCGAAACACATTAGTGTCAGTGCGAAAAGGAAAATGCTTCGGAATGTGGATGTATGTATCTTGTGTCTTTGCAAGTAGCATCGACCGCGCCAAGATCGGCTGACCCGATGGAAATACGCCAGTGTCAGTGCCAAAAGGAAAACGTTCCAAAGACCATGTATGTGTGGGTGGGTGTTTTTTGTGAGAAGCATCGAGCGCGTTAACTTACTGTTAATGAAATTTGGTCAGTCTCGGTGCGGCCAAAAACGAAAACGCTCTAAAGACCATGCGTGTGTACTAGGTGTCCCGGGTGCTGGGGGTCGAGTTACTCTGGCTCTAGCCCACCCTTCCCCAACTGCCACCCACGGTCTGAGCCCCGCAGAAGCCATTTCGTGACCACTTTCAAGTGCTGGATTCACCACACACAACACGGCGTCGCCTGTTCGATTCGCCCGAGCAACTGCTACACGCGATTTCGACCCTCCCCCATGCTGCTCCGTCTCTATCCCCCTACCCCGTTTGGGCAGAATGCCGCCCTGGCGTGGAACGAGGAAAACCCTGAGGACCTGATCGATATGGAGACGATGGTGCCCTTACCAGACGAAGGTGCGGAACGTGCTTCTCTTTTGATTTTATCCCGTCTATCGTCGTTGCTGGTGTTGGTGTTGGTATTGGTGGTGTTGATGATTATGCTGTTCGAATAGGGTGGGGCTTTTTCACGTGCCCCACACCAGATCATGAACCTATTTTATGTCCGGGTACTGTCCATGATCGCCGACGTTGCCATTGGAGTACATTATTATTGCTGCTTCTGGAATTGCCGTGCATTGCTGCTTCTGCTGCTGTGTTGTTGTAGAGAAATTTTGTAGCTTCTTCGCACTTTCAACACCGGCTACAAAAGTGTTCCCGTTTCCTGTCGCAGCGTTGTGGTTCCACCCCAACCCACCGATGCCCGGCAGCTCGGTCGAAAAAAAAAGTTGCTGTTGGCGGAGACGATGGTGGTTCTGGACGAATGGAGGTGATCGCGTGACCGGCGGCCTGGTCATTTTTTGTAACAAAAAAAACTGCTGAAACAACACAACACAAAGCCGCAGAACAAGGGGTACGTTACAGCAAAAACACAGACGAAACGAAAGGCATAACCCAACACTCTCCATCGCTCAGTGTAAATCCTTCTATTATAGAACATCCCCTTAGACTGCTGCGGTTACCTTAACTGTCGGAGAGATGCCACACCCGTGTCGTAGCGTTGTTTTATAGCTTGTTCCTCCGCAACCAATGGGGTAACACTGCCAAAAAGGGTGGCGTTGGAAATATCTCGTAGAGGGCTTTCGTGAGCGTTATCGGTCGGTGTTCGCACCCTCCTAGTCGCGGAGGAATACGCTGTAATAAAACGCGAACACTGGAGTGCCATCTCTCCGACTCTTGCGGTATATATCGAACGGATAAGTAGTACTCTTCTGTGATGGTATTTACATTTTCCGTGTTGTGTGTGGTTGTAATGTGCATGGTCTGTATTTTCGAAGAGAAAAAAGTGCCTTTAGTTTGTGGGAAGCGATATTTTGGCAGTATTTTTGGCAGCACATATTTTCGTCCTAGTATTTTGTAAAACAACTCAACCCCTTCCCCCCCGCCCCCCCTTTGGCAACGACGTTGTAAAGCAAGCCGCCTCCCGCGGTGATTACCATCGGGGTTGGGTTTCGTCGCTTGGCAACGACGTTGTAAAACAAGCCCCCCCCCCGAATATCTCACGGCGCTTCGCGCTTGGTGATGTGAGAGCCTGGTCCGGTGAGAACCCGGCGTGCTCCGTCCCGGCTTTGTAGGGATGCGAGGTCAATGGTCTA